ATATATATATATATATATATATATATATATATATATATATATATATATATATATATATATATATATATATATATGTATGTATGTATATTTTCCAGAGCTGTGCTTTGCATATATCATGTTTGTTTAAGTTATTGATACCTCTAGGAATAGAATTGCATTCTGCTGCATATTCTTCACCATGTATTTCCTGTTCTGCACTTCTACCATTAAGTGCTCCATAGCAATAAATTCGGTCATGTTTCTGTGATTGGAGCTTCATTTACAATTTTGTTAGAAATTAGTGTTGGTTCTGATGTGTAGTGTACATGATCCACTTTGCATTGTCTGATATCCTAGATGTAGATCTTAAACGTTTCTAAAATACCTGATTATGGCTAGTCTTTTTTCTTTTTGAGAAAAATTATGGTTAGTCGTCTTCAATATGGTCTTTTTTTCTGTTTACTGTTTCTTACTCAGAGTGAGGCCAAAGCATCTCTCTTGGTATTGTATAACCATATGCTGATTCATTTTTTCATTTTTACCATTATTAAAATGGTGGAGGTGAAGTTTTTTAAATAAGTAAATAATTTAATTATTATTGGTAGTAAATCCTGTATACAAGGTGAACTCTAGATACTGATTCTGCGGTCAGATTATTATAGTTATGTTGTATATTGAGATAGCTATCTTTAAACTGTGCTATTGGAGTGAGTAGAGTCAGCTTGTATTATTTGAATTCTCCCATCTCTGACTAAAATGCTCTTTCATTAAGCCGCAGACAAGATTGCTTCTTCTAGTCTCTAGAATTAGGAAAGAAGAATCAGGCTTTGATATTTTAAATATATCTCTTATTTGAATTTTTATTATATTCTCTTTTACAGATCCCCTTTAGTAGAAACTGAAGCATCATAAGAATTGCTAATGCCAACTTTAGCTTTTCTGGTGCTTCGTTCAATGAATAATTGAAATGATGTTAGGTATTACCTAGATGCTTTTCAGCCCCGCTTATGGTTATATACTCTTTGCCCTTGTATTTGGTATTTAAACTCTTATTGTCATGTAGTTCATTGGTCTAGGTGTTTTTTTTAGCTTAGTTAATTATTTCAAGCATTTGGTGCAATCTATTCATCAAACCTTGCTGTCTTGCAGATTCCACACTTGAGACCAACTGAGTATAAGAGATCCAGATTATCTAGGAACAGGAGGACTGTGAACCGTCCCTATGGTGGAGTATTGTCTGGAAGTGCAGTAAGGGAGAGGTTTGTTCTCGTAGTCTTTGTTGGCTTGTCCGTTTCCATTATTTGTCTAATTCATGCTCCTTTGTCTTATAACTGTGTAATGTTGGTTTGCAGGATTATTCGAGCTTTCTTGGTGGAAGAGCAGAAAATTGTGAAGAAGGTTTTGAAGATCCAAAAAGCCAAAGAAAAGCTGGCGGCCAAGAACTAAGCTGAGAGTTTAGAGGGACTTTAGTTTAAATTTTGGTGAAATTTTGACATTCAAGTGTTTACTAGTTGTGCACTACAAATTGACCTGATTGCTGCAACTTTTGAGGAGCATTTTGCTTTAGTTGAATATATCCGACTTCATTCCCCATTCTATATAAATTGAGTTGTCAATCTTGTCTTAATATACCTAATATATCACACAATGGTTTCATCTTGCTAGTTGAATCTTTATTATGAGCAACTCAGTTGATGGTGAAAGAAATGTGCCCAAAGCAAGTAGATGTGTAAGCATTGTCTGAATGTTGGGAGGTCATTGTGCTTGGATCTCGGTTAATGGGGGTCTATCTCTTGTTTGATTTTTGTTGTTCATGAAGCTGCAACTAGGATCAAATGTATACATTGCTTATTGATCCTAGTTGCAAGTGAATCCAAAACCGGGTTTGTTGATATTGTGAGGATGAACATTGCATGCTGGTGTAATACTCTGATTAAGTTAAAGGAAATAAGGTATAATGCTCTGATTCAGAAGGGTAATTTTTAGAGGCCATGGATTAAATACAAAGGTGGCACCATATGGTGATTTTGTCATGTGCCCTGACACATTTATAATGGTCCATTCAAATATCTAGGACCAGGGTTTCTCTTCTAAAGTATACCATCTAGAGCAATGAAATTAGAGACAGAGGTTTCTTCGGCAACTTAATGATGGTTTGCTGTATCTGAAAACTATACTGTGCTTAGTTACTTGGCACTTCGACTATGCCTAAAAAGCTTGATAAATGAAACCTTTCACTAAAGCTTGCTCTAGTAAGGTTGTCACCCAGGTGTATATGAGTGGACTCTTTTCTGGGTCCAGAATCTTCAGGCCAAGGACCTTTTCTTGAGCCTTGAAATCCTTTAGTGTTGCAACCATCATGATATCCAGAACCCCTGGATCTTCCCTGCGGATTTTGCGATTCCCTTAAGTCAAGAAAATTCTCATTCTTTCTTCCAGCACTTCTAATCTCTCCCACAGTTCCTCACACGCTTCCTCCTGGGTAACCATGATCTTGGATATGATGTCAAACAACTGAAATATGGAAAGCACAAATTAACAAAATCTTGAAATTCAAATGTTAAAAACACACGATTATATAATCTTACCAGTTGGATGTAACCAGTCCAGAAACGTAACTCTGGCTCTTTCATATGGATCTTCTTGCAAGAGTTTAGGTATGAGATTCCAAGTTTTATCAATATATTCAATGATGACAGGTGATTCCACAACAGCTCTACCGTTGTGAATCAACATGGGTACCGTTTTGTGGACTGGGTTGTGTTGGAGAAGCAATGGACTCTTGTTGCTCAAGTCCCTCTCGCACAAGCTCGAAAGGTATGCCTTTGATCTTGAGAGCAAGTTCAACTCTCTTTGAATAGGGGCTATCATTTCCTAGAAGAATTAGCTTTGTTCTCTTGCATTTTCTCTTAATCTGAGTTGTGAAGGTTGTTGCTCGGATGCTGCTGAGTTCTGGCAGTGACAGGGGACCTTGTACTTTCAACCAAGTCCGCGATTAACCTTTTCTAATAGCGAAGGCCTAATGAGCCATTGTAGTCATTAGTCAAACGTTTTACACAATACATTGTCTATTGACGGGGAAAACTATCAAATAATATGGAAAAAGGCCAATGGCGTGCTTCAACTTGCAGGATTTTGGAGCAACTTTATGTTTTCAAGCAATACTTACTCCACTATTATAAGTATTTATAACTTATGTGGACTGTCAGCGCACCGTTGTTGGTGGTAGGCTATAATCCCGTATTTTAGTTGCTTATTGCACTCTTATTCACTGCACTTTACTTGTGTTTGAACTTTAATTTGTAGTGTTTTGCACTGATTGTGTGTTTTATGCTTTGTAGGAGATGATGTCGAGTTAAGAAGATGTTCTGGAGCTAAATCGAATAATTGGAGCTTTGACGTCTGAGTAAAAACCAAGGAATTAAATCGGGATCGTGTCCGGGGCTCGCGAACCGACGTTGCACATGAAAGTTGGAAGAAAGAGCAAGGGCTAGAGCAAAAAAAGTACTAGTGCGTCGCATAAAGCGTGACATTAGTATAAAATTTCGTCAGAAGTTTGAGAAGTTCAGAGACTTGGAGTTTTTGGGTTCTGACAGAAAAATACACTAATGCGTGGCATAGTGCATAGCATCAGTACAAAATTTTGTACTGAGATTTTACAACCGAGCAAATTGCAATAATGCTACGCAGTGCGACGTATGAAGTGTGAGCCCCGTCAGTCCCGACGGATTCAATAAATATATCAATTCATCTCTCCATTTTCTGTGAAAAGGGGGACAGGGAGCATAATTTCATTTCCAACGGGGGATCCTTTTTTCCTTTTTTTCTTTTTTGTTTCGCATTTCTCATCAAACAAATAGGGGATTTTTTCATTACTTCAACCGCAGGTTTTTCTACTTCGGCTCAAAGAGGGTAGTTTCGTCCGGGTTCGTTCCTACATGGTATAAATACACTAGAAACACGTTTTTGAGAGGACTTTTGACATACTTTCGACCCAAGGAAGCTAAGTAAGAGTTGGAAGAACACAAGCACAAGGATTTCATCATTCCTTTTTCACTCAAGACCCGAGTTTGGATCGAATCTATGCTTTCCTATGCTTTAATTATATTTGTGATGAATTTCTCCATGCCTATGGAGAAGTTCCCTTTAGGATTTGGTGGATTTGGTGTATTGATGATTGTTTGTGGATTATAACTCTAGTTTTATGTATTGAATCGTTTTGGACGATTTCATTGTTGCATCTATATTCACTAGTTCATGTAATCGAGGGAGGCATAACTTGTGATATCTTGGGATTATATTGTTGGTTGAGTTCATAGATTCTTCTAAGTAATCTAAAGAGGCTAGTTGAATCATTGATTAAACCTAGTTAGGAGAATAATCGAAAGAGGTTTTGCTAAAGACAAATCCACTATGCATTCTTGCGTATCTTCATAGTGCTTAATTTGGTTCGGCTCGTGAGGTTAAGGCTTAATCGAGAGAGGAGTTTCTGTTGAACGTTTGAATCAATAATTGAGTGAATTCGAGAGACTCACTTGAACATTAGAAGTGAATTATCTATAGTTAGATCCGGAACAATTATCTTGCACCTATCCTATCAAAACCCTACATTCTCCCACTGATAACCTTATTTGCTTATTCCTTGTCTCGATAGTCACTAGTCAATAGCTTTAGATTTTTAGTTAATTTTAATTATTAATCATATAAATCTCAACTGTTGATCCACCTGGATAGCAATCAAGTTAGAAACTACGAGAATATCGTTTAAATCCAATCCATGTGGATACGATATTATACTATACTATCTTTGATTAGCGAGCATAATTTAAGTGTATGTTTTGCGCTCGTCAAATTTTGTAGTTTAATTTGCAATCTGAGAGTTTTTCTTATCTATACTTTAATTTATCACTGCAAACACATGATATCAACCGTGCAATGAGAGGCGACAGTTTAAGCAGGTTGTACTAGCTATTACACCTTAAGCAGTGTGTAACTAATAAATGAAATACTGTGTTTCTAAAAATAAAGACTTTGGAGAGTTGGGAGTGACACGAGGTAGAAGAAATGAGAAGAAAGGGACTTGACTTTTATTATAATAATAATAGAAAAGGAGGTATAATTTAATTAATTTGTACCCTACCTGATGCTACTTGAGAAGTCAAATAATTTTTTCTTGCCGCAATTTCAAAAATATTTTCAAAAAGTTTTATTATAAGATATTATGATCTAGATTATTTTAATGCAGTTTCTAACTATATTAAATTTTATTTCAAGAATTTGAATTCCCAATGAAAATTAGATTATTTAACATTTACCCTCTCATTATGGGGGACACGAAGAAATTATATTATTACCAAGGGTTATAAATTACCTAGATTTAATTAAGAAAAAAATAAGTGAAAGATATGATTGGTTGAGATGGAAACATGAATTCCCTGGTTCGCGGGAAATTTGTTTTTTTTTTTTTTTTCCTTCTTTCATAATTAGTTTATGGAGGACAAAAATCACTCCCCATCATTGAAACCATCGGATTTGGTTTTGTCCAATTGTCCTTCTCAGAATCCGACGTAAGTGTTATCTTTCCCGTTCCTAGCCCTCTCTGCCCTTAACCAAATTCAAAACAAAGAACAGCATTTTTTGTTATTTATTTTTTGACAAAGAGCTGGGTGTTTATATTCGTTGACACAATGATTTAATCAAATTGGAACTGCAACATTGCTGCTTTTTGGAGATTCGTAAGATATTTTTGCATTTATATGCGGATTACGCCACCTACGTATTTGCATAGGAAATTTAAAGTTTTTTTTTTTCTTTCTAAAGGTATATATGTAGTATATTAAGAGGCGCAACATTATAATGATTTGTGCTTCCTACTAATTTTCTTCTCCTTGGATCACTTTCTTTTTGTGTGTGTGTGTTATCTATTGGTGACAATAGGAGATATAGTGCTTATTTGTGAAGTTTGATGGATATGAACTGAGTGAATATTTGTTGGTTCCTGTATTCAGATTCGTGTATTATTAATTCAATTAGCCTCAGATTTTACGCCTTTGTTTGATGTGATTCAATTTCTTTGTCTTGTTGAGATCTTGAAGTTGAGAAGTCAAAACAACAATTCCAATTTTGTCTGGATTCATCTACTATGCATTGCATGTCTAGGATAAAAGGAAAATAGCCAGAAGAAGAACGTGGTAGCAATTAATATACTACTGGGGATGGAAAGCATGTGCCTTTTCTCCTTTTATCCATAGGAAAGTCACTTTTAAATGAAGTTGCTTGGATAATTTTCTGTTTCGACACAACATAGCATCTACATTTTGCATTATATCCCCATTTAGGATGACCTACAAAAATTATTGAGGGAAGATGAGGAATTTTAATTACTCCCTCTGTTTTAATTTAGATGAGGTAGTTTGACTTGGCACGGAGTTTAAGGAAAGTGTGTTATCGAAATTGAAACAGAGGGAGTATGTATTATATTCTATCGTCATAGAGATGGGTATATGCAAGCTTCTCTGTACACAATAAGTACTTCTACTAGAAAAGAAAGAAGCATGAAATGGGAGAGGGCTGACAAAAATTCCTAAGTTGCGTGGACTCTTCGATTTTGGTGCCGTCCCCGTCCCAATACGAGACGGGGACGGGAGCGGGAGCGGGATACGTCTTGGATTCGGTCAACTGACTTCGGACACTTTGACCGGAGTCCATCGACATATTTGGGAGAAAAATTGAGATTTTGATTTCTCAAAATCAAAAATAAAACAGATTTAGGAGAATGGAAGAATAATGTCCATCTTGGAGAATGAAAGATTGAATATTCTACAATATTCATCTAAGTTTTTCACAGAATATATCTCAAAATTTATAATATTTTTATAGCTCTATTTTTTATTAGCCGAATTCCCGCACCCGTATCCATATCCGGATCCGCACCCCCGAATCTTAAAATTTAGATTTTGCCGAATCCGATACTCAGATTCGTCCCCGTATCGGATAGCCGCACCCGAGTCCGAACAACTTATTCATCCCCCAAAAAAAAAAGAAGAGAAAAGAAATAGGAAACCTGCAGGTGGTGGTGGACATGCTAATGTAAAAGTGTGAGCAGGAAACTTTTAATTGCCTGATCATATTTGTCATGGAAAAATATTTTCATTAATAGTAGGGAATTGTCAACTTCATGCCTCTTGCTTCTTCTATATCATTATTGATTTTTTTTCATTTAAGTATAATTCATTGAGCATCATTTTATATGCTTCAGTGTTGCTTCCAAATTAGTCTGAAATCTGAAATATCAAACCCAGGTGGACCATGGCAACAAAAGGAAATCCAGGGGATAACAGAAGTAGAAGCCCTTTATCATCATTATTTATTGTAGCTGGACTTTGTTGTTTCTTCTATATTCTTGGAGTGTGGCAAAGAAGCGGTTTCGGGAAGGGAGATAGCATAGCTCTTGAGATAACAAAGAAGGCAGAGGACTGCGGCATCCTCCCCAATTTGGAGTATGAAACACACCATGGGAATCAAAGTAGCTCATTCGATGATCCTAACCAAGAAATCAAGGAGATTGAGCCATGTGCCGAGCAATATGTTGATTACACACCATGTCACGATCAAATGCGAGCAATGACATTTCCTCGAGAAAATATGAACTATAGGGAGAGACACTGTCCTCCGGAGGAAGAGAAGCTGCATTGTCTCATTCCAGCCCCAAAAGGATATGTGACTCCTTTTCCGTGGCCAAAGAGTCGTGACTATGTACCTTTTGCAAATGCACCGTACAAAAGCTTAACAGTTGAGAAAGCAGTGCAAAATTGGGTCCAATATGAAGGCAATGTGTTTAGATTTCCAGGTGGTGGTACACAGTTCCCTAATGGAGCAGATGCATATATTGAACAGCTTGCTTCTGTGATCCCAATAGACAATGGTACAGTACGAACTGCATTGGACACCGGATGTGGGGTGAGTCAAATCTTTCCACAATATTCTGCATTAATTTTTACTAGGCTTTAATGCTTTGAAGTTCCAGATATCACTCATTGTGGATAATACGTTGCTTCAGATTTTCCATTGCTTTATCTATCTAGTAGTTTCGCTCCATGAATTCCTTACTTTTTTATACAAGTTAAAGATCATGACTACATGTGGTACTTTGTATAGTTTAGTTTCTTTGTTTTTCTGTTATTTTTAATGTTGTTGCTGTTTTCCGTCAAGCTGGTGTTTGATTGTGTACCAGTTTGAAATTTGTAATGTTTGGCATGCGGCATCCTAGGTTGCAAGTTGGGGTGCATACCTTTTCAAGAAGAATGTTCTAACCATGTCGTTCGCACCAAGGGACTCGCATGAATCTCAAGTTCAATTTGCTTTGGAAAGAGGTGTTCCCGCAGTTATTGGTGTGCTTGGAACCATAAAATTACCATATCCATCTAGAGCTTTTGATATGGCTCATTGTTCACGTTGTTTGATTCCGTGGGGTGCAAATGGTAAGGATCAGTACCTCTGCAGACTTTCCTTGTGCCTTGTACTGCTTGTATTAATGTATGGCTCCTTCTCTTGCACTAGTCACCAAATTGCAGGATAACATCACCGGCTCACTGTTCATTACATCCTGTATTGAATATCATCCTTTTCAAAAGTTTCGCTAATCTTGAAAAACCAAGGTTACCTTGTGTCCATAATATTCTTCCTTTTAATCAATATTTAATTCTCATTTGGTTAATGGTAACTCTAACAAGCAAATTGAACGTGGAGTATCTGTACCAGTATTCGTATCGATGTGATGTTTTGTTTGGGGTTTTTTTGGGTGGAGAAAGGATTTCATTAATAAGAAAGAGTTAGTACACAAGCTATGATCCAGGATTTAATTTAAAAGGTTAAAGGTTATAAGTTCTTTGAGAATGTGGGTCAAAAACTGGACAATTGACATATGCAAGGAATCTTGGGGCAGCTATCTTCTCAGGAAAGAGTCAAGGATATTATGACTGGGTGCTTGTATTTTGGGGATTTCTTATAGTGATTAATTTTTCACTTCAGTTTGTTTCTTTCTTTCCTAACAAAATTCTACTTTTTTGCAGATGGACAGTACATGATGGAAGTCGACCGAGTGCTCAGACCAGGGGGCTACTGGGTACTTTCAGGTCCTCCAATTAACTGGCGGAGTAATTATCAAGCGTGGCAGCGTCCCAAAGAGGAGTTGGAGGAGGAACAGAGAAAGATTGAAGAAATAGCTGAACTTCTCTGCTGGGAAAAGAAGCATGAGAAAGGTGAGATTGCCATATGGAGAAAAAGAGTAAACAATGAGTACTGCAGGGAACGAGATTCTCGTGTAACTCTATGTGAATCCTCGAATGCAGAAAATGTCTGGTAAATTCTTGCACCTTATAATATATTATTCTATAAATATCTAAATAGCCAAAGTGATGGAGATTGTCTTCTTTCTTCCTCCTTGTTCTGTTGATGCATATTAGATAAAGTCTCAAGTACTAGCTTTAAGATTCTAGTCACTTTCTTTACGTCACAATTGACTTTGAGTTGTAAAGCAATGTGATGTAGATTTAGTTTTCAGTAATATATGTATGTGAATGTTGCTTCTTGTTGCCATGTTCTATGTCTTGTATTCGTTACGTCCATTCCTGCAAGGACTTGCTAATTTTGGTCTGAATTTTCCATGCCAAAGAATAGTTTTATGTTGCTGCTTCAGTAATTGTGGAGTAATTAATTAAATGAAGGATGTTGAAACCACAAAGATATCCGGTGAATGATTGTTCTATGGAAAACAGAAACTTTTTATAACATTGAAGTGCTTAACATTTTGAATATCCACCAATCTGAGGTTTATGTTTGAATAAGTTGATTTAGTGATACATTTGATCTTTTGATTGTTGACTGCCCTTCTAAGTACTCGATATTCAACCAATATTCGGGGGTTTTAGGTATAAGAAGATGGAGGCATGTGTAACTCCTTATCCTCAGACAACTAATTCAGACGAAGTTGCTGGTGGGGAACTTAAGCCGTTCCCACAGAGACTTAATACTGTTCCTCCGAGAATAGCAAGTGGATTTGTCCCTGGATTATCTGTTGAGTCATTCCAGGAGGACAACAAGTTATGGAAAAAGCATGTGAATTCTTATAAGAGAGTTAATAAAATCCTCGACAGTGGGAGGTATCGAAATATACTGGATATGAATGCTGGCCTAGGAAGTTTTGCTGCAGCACTTGAATCACCCAAGTTATGGGTCATGAATGTTGTTCCAAATATAGCTGAACAAGACACTCTTGGAGTTATATATGAACGAGGCTTGATTGGAATATATCATGATTGGTAAACTTTCTGAAGCTCTTTTTTTTTTTTTCTCATTGCACTCTAGCATCATTGCCACCTATTTTTTAGTTTTCTTTTTGATGGTGGATTGTGGAAAGCGAACATGTGAAAAGTTTGATAATTCATTCTGGCTGTAAGCTATATTTCTTACGAAAGATTGTTTCCTTCTTAATTTTGCTGGGATTGCATTAGAACGCTCAGCATGGAACTTTTAGAAATTATTGTCCAATTAAGCAGCTACCACATCATCATCTATATATGTGATTATCCCAAGGTTAAAGTTTTTAATTCAGTCAGTCAAGGAATTCCTCACTACCAAACTAGTTGGGTTGGCTGTATGAATCCTCTATTCCGTTCCTCTCTTCGAATCTTTCACTCCGATACTGATAAATAAATTGCCTTTGGATCTTTCTCATTACATTCTTTCCCACCAGTTAATTGTCATGCCATCAAATTTCCACTATTTTACCACTGAGTAGTTGCTGCTTCCCTGGTCCTATATGACTGCTTCCCTACAATGGTTAGCTTTTGGAGTTAGCTTTTAGGACTCTGGCAATATCTAGGTCCTTTAGTGTGTTTTTGACCTTTAATGCTGCTGGATACAATTATAATGCCCTTTCATATACACATCGAAGATAGTATTCCCAGTCACCAGCTTGCATGTATCAGCATTCTCTTTTGTCTTTTAGAACATGACTGGCCTGCATCTTCTCTTGGCTAGTGTACTCCCACCTTGTACTTGAACTCTATATAGTAGCTTAAGTTTCGACTTCTAATATATGGAGATTGTGCATCACATCTTGAGTTTGTGATTGCTGAAATTACAAATTTGTAAACTAAACCTTCTCTCCCTCCTTCTAGTATCTGAGTTTACGTTCTTTCTCTAGAAGTATCTTTTATATATCTTAGTTAACCTTCTTTCCGACCTTGGATTCAGGTGTGAAGCCTTCTCTACATATCCTCGCACATATGACCTTATTCATGGAAATGGAGTTTTCAGCTTATACAAAGACAAGTAAGTTCTTTACACTAATTCATATATGAATAAGGTATAATTCTTTACACTAATTCATGTATGAACAAGGTAAAATTTATGAATAGGTCAGTTTTGCCAATCCGGCAAGACTAGTATATCAACATTATGCCCCGAAAGCTATTTGTTCTTAAATTTCTTAAATGGGAATAAATTTTAAACAGTGGTGCAAAATGATTCTATTTGTGCAGATCACCTTAGTGTAACGTAACGTAAAGCTAGATCTTTTTCATTTAATTTGTGGAGAAATTAGTCTTCAGGGGAGCCAACTTCCTGTGATAATGGGGTGAGGAGGAACATCTACATAGAAAGGAGATGTTTGCCATATTTTTATGTTTCATCTGAAAATTTGAACACAAGGGGGAAAATAATTAGTCAATGTCCATCCATACCTGTCACTGCTAATAGTTTCAGCGAGATAATTCAATAAAGAACACCCAACCAATACGTGCTTCAAGTTAGATCTTGTTAAACTTTCTAATTATGCCATATGTCAATGCAGATGTAATGCTGAAGACATTTTACTAGAGATGGATAGGATTCTTAGACCAGAAGGTGCAGTCATATTGCGAGATCATGTAGATGTCCTCACTCAAGTGAAAAGAATTGCGTCCGGTATGAGGTGGAACATAAAAATGGTGGATCATGAGGATGGTCCTCTGATCTCTGAGAAGGTGCTATTTGCTGTTAAAAAATACTGGGTTGTAGGGGATAACAACTCAACTGTCTCAGAGTGAATAGCATTGGCTTAGCAGCATTTTTGGCAGATAATAGCAGAGCAGCTAATGCTGCAGTATTTGGTTCATTGCCAGAGTTAATATTATTCTTTTACCACTGGAGTTCAGATTGATGAATGAAGCAGAGAACTCTGATAATTGTCATGGTAACCATTTCTCATTTTCCATTTTGACAGTTGCAGAACAGAAAATGAATAGGTTACTCATGGCTAGTTTATTTTCTTACAAGGCTTCCTTTTTATTGTTGCTTATTATCATTAACATTATTGCTATTAGTTCTTTAGTTCATTCATGGGTTGTATCATATCTTTTCAGCAATTTTCCTGTAATTCCAGCCAAGTAAATTGAACTTTTATGGTAAAAGATCAAGTTATTTCTTTTGATGTTATGAAAATTTTAGATATTCTCAAATTCATCTTTTCTTTATCGGATACTATGATGCCAAGACGCGCTTTGGGATAATAAAATATAAAAGCACATGGGATTTATTAGTCAATCAAATCCTTACTGTGGCTGCCTAGAGGGAGAGCCTTGACGCAACGGCAAGATTTACTACCGTGTCACCAGTAAAGTCACGGGATCAAGCCGTTAAAACAATCTCTTTCAGATGTGCAAGGTAAGGCTGCATACAATAGTTTCAATGTGGTCTAGCTTTTTCCGTACTCTGCATAACGGAGCTTAGTAGCCGATTGAGTGTTCAAATTCAATTCAACTCAGTAAAGGAATACAGATGCAAGCACCTGCTCCAATATTTTCTTCCATTGTTTGTTGCTGTACTTTCTTAGCCACCTTGGCGTATATCTAACAGGAGACAAAAGAAAACATTAATGTACAATCAACCTGTAATCTTGATACAGCCAAAGAGCAACCAAATGATTGAACTACATAAATTATGAAGGTAGTAGATATAGTATTAGGAAATAGAATTTCAAGTTATCAGAATTTATTATGATGCTAATGCTGGTGTCCTACTTTGGGGCTCACTTGAATGAGTGGTGGAATTTTATTTTTGTTTTTCTGAGTTTTCTTTGGAGCCACTTCTTTATCTGCAGCCAATTTCTAGACCCCATTAACATTTATTACATATTTTACATGGATCCATATCCATACTTTCTTGTTGATATACTGACCATTTAAACTGCAATTTGTTAATGTCAAAAGATGGAAGATCTTATCATTAGTCAAAAACTTCAGAGGTACTGTAAAATCAGATATTATATGTCGTGTGAGATTTTCGAATGAAGTGACAAGACTCTCAAATATTATGCTTCTCCAAACATGTAGGATCCACCATCTTAAAGCTATACAACCCAATAGGCTCCAAGAAAGAGCCAAGTTATATAGGGCTGCTTGTAAAGAAACCAAGTGAAAAACAATAGCTTCTCTCAAAATCACTGAATCAGGATTTTGATCTATAGCTTTCACAACCTTTTTCCTTTTGCTACTTGATGCATGTCTATGATTTCCTTTCGATTTTACATTAGCTTATGATCTTTCCAATCTTTGCTGTCTTTCATCGTTTGTTTGTTGGTAAGCTGCTCTTTTTGTGAGTCACATTTGTTCTGTTGCTTCCTGTCTCAAAGCTTGTCATAAAACTCTTTCCACACTTATAAGAGCAATTGTTGCTTCTGCCTCAAATTCTCTTTAAATTTTTCATCAGACAAAAGAAACCTAAAGCATTTTGTCTCCATGGAAACCGATGATAATTCAACCAGCCTTCGCGTAGAATCATTTTCTTGTTACCTCAGCAACCCTGAAGATCAGAGCTTTATACACAAACTAGGGGGCGCTTATGAAGATCCTTATCCTGCTGTTTTTTCACCAATTGATACCGCCTTTTCTGTGAGTTCAGTAAGAGCTACTATTAAACCATCCTCAGATAACACTCGAGATAACCTTGCCAATCTTCGCGTTGAGTCTTTTTCTTCTTATCTCAAAGCTGAAGAAGATAATAACTTTGCGTTTAAGACCACAGGGCTCCCTGTACCAGATTCTAGTATTGCATTTGTTTTTCCTCAACAGGCTTCTGTGGGCACTCGAAAACACCAAGAAAGAACCAAGTCCAAAGATGGGGAATTTAACATATTCGGAGCTGATAAGTATTTCAACATGAAACTGGATTATGGAGTTGTTCCTACAACTGGGGTGAAGTATGGGGGGCAGATGAACAAAGGGATGGTTGATCTGCCCCACCTGAAACCCAGTTGCCGGACAGGAACTCCAAGTATTTGTTCTGAAGCAACTAGTTTTAATAGCCAAAGTGCACTGTTACAAAATCTTCAGAGAAGTAGATCTCAAACAAAGCATAAAAAGATGACAGGAAGGAGATTTTTTGCTAGCTTCGGTTGCCAAGGACCTTGTTTGGACAAAAAAGCAGTCTATGTGGATGAAACCATAGGACATGGAAAAGTAAGTAAGTTGGCATTAACTTCTGTCCCTTCCATGAGAGAGAAGTTGAGCGTAGTCAAAAAACACGTCGATGATCAAGATCCAAGCATCGAAGAGCAAAGAAAATCACTTGAAGTGTTTGGCTCTGATAAAATGAGAAAAGGAGACATATCAGTGAATTTAGAGAGGAAACTCTCCATGTTAACTTGGGATGCCATTCCTAAAGTTCAAGACCTGCCTACTACAACCATTGGAAGCAGCACAATTGGCGATGACATGGCTAGCGATGCTAGTTCTGACTTATTCGAGATTGAGAATATATCCAGCAGTGGATATGGACACATGAATTCACAAACTACTGGTGATAATTATGTGCCAACTGGCTGCATGTCACCAATTACAACTCAGTATGCACCAAGTGAGGCCAGTATTGAGTGGAGTGTTATCACAGCAAGTGCTGCAGATTACTCATCAGTTATCTCTGATTATGATGAGAAGAGGATTAGCATTGCTGGTAATACTACTTCAAGGATTAATGCAGCCAATAAAAACACCAATACCAAGTGCGCCGCTGGAAAAGAAGGTCAGAAAACCCGTCCAGGCGGACTTTTAGGTTGCAAGAGCCACAAAGCAGTAAGTGTGGTTGAAACTGTATACAAAACTGGCGAGAAGGCTAAGCATCACCAGCGCGGTTAACTGTTCATTTGCCGGTGTAGTATTTTCATGTTGAATAAGAGTATTGAAATAAATGGTGCGGTTGAAATTTTACAAGTACTTTGTAAAATCTTAGTAGTGAATAACTATTTTCTTGTCTCTCTAGTGATTTCGTTTTATAGTGCCGAGTCTATTTACTGGTTATTGCTTGAGTTTTCATCTATTTTCTGCCTTTTATGATGCTGTTATTATTTCTTTGGTTTCTGTTGATGGTACTAATATATTGTCTCTTTTCGTCTTCTTAAGCCGAGGGTCTTTCGGAAACAACCTCTCTACTCCCTCGGGGTAGGGGTAAGATCTGGGTACACACTACCCTCCCCAGACCGCACTAGTGAGATTTTATTGGGTTGTTGTTGTTGTTGTTCTAGCGAAGGAATTAATTTGATTATTTTAGCTAATTTGTCTTTCACTACTTATCTTGTTATATACTTTATATAAGTATCTGTTTTGCCAAGAAAAGACATAGCAGCCACAATACATGAAAGCAAATAAGTTTGTAAAATGAGAGGCAATAAAGCCCCAGTTTAGATTATAGAAATTTTAAAAACTGTGACATGAGGCCACCCTTGTCTAAAGAGAAAAGGTATTTTGGTTGTTTTATGTTTTTCTTTCCTTTGTGTCACCTGATACTGTAGTTGGTGTTCATCCCATTTGACCATCAAATGGAAATAAAGCTACTTTTTTTCCAGACAGGTTTGCCTTGTTTAAGAGTCAGTAAATCCAAGTTGGCATGTCAAACACTAGGAGGCCATAGGCCCTACGCCCCTACCTAAACAGAATCTTGCTTCAAATTGAGATACACCTCTGGACTTTTAACTGATGATGCTTTCTCTTTTAAGTTTGAGACTTTGCAATTCTGTACTTCGTCTCAATGACCAATGTCAAATAACTGACAAAGTTGGTTAGGCACGTGCAGTCATGCAACTTGAAGAATCCCATAGTGTCTACGTAGAATATGTAGCAGTTGAGAGATAGTAGGTATACACGCGGTTGGTTCAGACGGTAACGCTATAAAAAAAATGCGGCAACTCAGATTTTATATTCTCAGCTAACATTGGTTCTACCATTTGGATATATACTGGATTTAATAAAGAAGATTGACTCAATCAACATATTACACAAAACAAATAGAATAAGATAAGAGTTGACAAACCATCTTGAGACATTAAACTAAGCTAGCGTTTGGCCATAGATCCCAAATTTATTTTGAAAAATCTGATTTGGGTGAAGTTTGGTTTGAAGATGAAAATGTGTTTGGACATACGTTTTCAAAACATATTTTCCAACTTTATTTTGGAAAAACATGTATATAATTCCCAAGTTTTGGGATTTTGTCCCAAGTTTTGGGATTTGAAATTTGCGATTTGGGATTTGGCCAAAATATGGGCAAAATTTATGGCCAAACACGAGTTTTGAAAATAAATCTCAAATTTATTTTGGCAAAACTCATGGCCAAACGGGGCCTAAAAGTTTAGAGTTTCAATTGTCCTATTTGAATGCACCCCATAGAAAATTTCATAGGTTCTCGACAGGGTTTGTAAGGAATAAAGTTAGAACGTGTTCAATCTGTTAACGAATCTAAACTGTAGAACCAAATGAGATTTGATGTAAGGGGTGCAAAGTAGAGGTGGAGGCAGGATTTTCACCAGGAAATTCAAAAAAAAAAAAAAACAAATATAAACAGTAGAAGAAACAAGGAGATCCAATATCTAATATATAAAAAAATTGATCTTGTATACACATCGTAATTATCCGGCTAATAGCTCCGCACTTGGTGGGAAGGGAAGCTTTAAGTAGAGTAGTAGTATATATATATTATAGAATGGGTTTTATAAATAATTGGAAGATCGATGAAAAAGTAATGTCAATCCGAATGACAAAACCACATGACTGTCATGCGGCCAAAATGTGTTGGATACCAACATTTAATTTTGTAGCCATCCAACAACTAAGATGGGGTTGGTCTAATTAAGTCCTCTTCTCTCGTTTTCACCAAACAGTCGTCTAGGCTGAAAATCTGCTTGCAATAACTCCAACAGATCCTTGTGTTTAGTGCGCAAACAAAAAGTAAATAAGAAAAAAGAAGTTACATGTGACATGATGAGATACTTTTAATGGTGCGAAACCTTTTGCAAGAACTTGTGCAGCCTTGATCCAAAAAAAAAAGACAGTATTGGACAATGTTGAGAGTGTCTTCGGCTTGACTTAATCCAATAACCTGGTACTAAAGCCAATGATTCGATTGAACAAGTATCGAGATGATGAAAAATACTCCCTCCGG